GCTCAAGTTAGATTCTTGGCCAATTAGATTATAGGGTTTACTAGATTCATGTTTAGGAGATGACTATGTTGACTCCCATTGCAATCTTTCTAGCTAAACTACATCCCCTTCACTCAAAATCTTTATTGAATTTATGTCCCTCATGTCCTCCAATATAATACGTTCTAAAGGAATTTGCATTCAAATAAAACACTTTGAGTAATTAAAACATTAAATAAATAACTAATATCTATAACATAAAGCAATAGAATAACAATTATCTATGAAGCTTAAAATAAACAAACAGATAACCAACATCTAAAACAATCTCGTAATAATGTGTTGACCAAATTGATGTTGGAATTTGTATAAAATCTGCCCTTGATGAGCCATCAGTGGGATGTGACATAATTAAGCAATAACGTGTTGTTTGAAATTTGAATTAATTTGATTAATTTCTAATTAAATTTCAAAAAGAGAAGTAATCCTCTTCAATAATGGCATTTAAATCAATTTATTCTCTCCACCATAAGGCGAATTATTACTAATTTGATTTTCCTTTTCGGAGGTGGCATTTCTCCATGATAAATAGAGAAATTAGCTAGAGGTAGAGAACACACCGGAACAAATAATTCTCTAATTTGTTCTTTCTCTCCCTCTCTTTCTCTCTTCGATACATCTGCTATACACTACTTGTTTAAACTCTAATAATCTACACTAATATAAATAGTTGTGTATATTCTATTACGTTAGGATATGGTAAGACTCTGACTTGACTTCTCTTATTCATTTTGTTATTTATTTAATATTCATTCAATCCATAACCAAAATATCGTAAAATCAAATCCTCCTACCCACCATGATCAAAACCTAAAACAGAGGGATGAGAATAGGCTTGGACTCACCCAACTAAGATGGATGAATAATATCTTATTGAGTTATTGTTGGCTGATGGCTCCATGCGCGGGCCCGATCATGCTCAAAAATAGCAAAATAAGACTTGTGTGGACCATACAACTTCTTAAGATTCTATTTAGTCCCTTTTTTATTTTTATTAGGCTTACGTAGCTTCTTCTTCTGTTTTTTTTTTTTTTTTTTGGAACGGAAGACTTACGTAGCTTATAATTTTGAGAGAACCACAGAAAAGTTTCTAAAAATAATAAAAACAGTTAGGCTTTGGCTTTCAATAGAATTTTTTAAAAAAATAAGTTAAAAATATCAATTCAAGCAATTATGAATAAGAATTTTAATTATAAATGATTAATTATATTTAAAATTTAAATATCTTATTTTTAATTAAAATTTCTTAATTTACAATCATTTGAATTGACATTAGCACATTAATTTTAAAAAAATTTAACTTTTATTAATTTTTTTAATGACTTTATCATTATTCTCCCTTTAATTTTGTGACTGAATTTGGAGGTGGCGACGTGGCGTCTTGGCGTGTTGAAGATTTTATTGGTAGAAGCACATGGCAACGAGGCAGTGTAGTTCCAAGACAAGCATGTTTTAGCACAGTTAATCTGCAACAAATATTAATATTAATATTAATATTAATTAAGCTAAGAAAGTTACTATAGTTGTAAAAGCACTGAAAATGATGTGCTTGTTTTATTTAGACTATTTGGTGTCCCCCTAAAATTATGAAATGGAATCGAATCTGGTGGGTGAGGCTCCTCTATAAAAGACCGGACTCTACAACTGGATGGGATGGGCCATGATCTGGTGGATTAATATGCATGATAATTCATAGCTGTGTTGACGCTTTGCTCGTATGCTTCCGAAGTGAAAGCTGGCCCGTTGACCTTTCCATTACTCGTAATGGCCATCATAACTCCTGTCTCCTGACTTGACACTTAAACTTTTCCGCTAGCTTCCACGGCACATTTTTCAGGAGGGCAAAAGGACAATTTTTGATTTTATAATATCATTCTCACATAAATTAGGTCACACTAAATTTTTCCTAAACAAACCTAAATCTATATGATAAGTTAAAAGTTTAAACATAATCTAAAATTTATATAAGATTTATTTCATGAATTAAATCTGAACTTACTTAAAGTCTAACATGATTTAAAAGCTTATTTAAAAATTTATTTAAAAATACACATTTTAATATATAACGTGATTTATCAGTTACAATATATAATCATTAAAAAGACTTATTAATTATAATACAATAATGTAATAATATTAAAATTAGTATATAAGTTTAATATGATCAAAAACATAATTAAAAATAAAAAAATTAATTAATTAAAAATTTAATTGTAAAATTGATGTGTGTGTGACATATTATATAATATATATGTATGTAAGTAGGGCAGCATGTTGGATTCATAGAATAGGTCTTGAAAAAACTAAAATTAAAGGCATAAACCTATTTAATAAATAAACTAAATTGGCTTTGAAGTGGGCTAAGACATAAGCCCTTGGCTATTCCCACACTTGCTTATCCCTCACATATTCAGAGTTTACGATTGTAAGATAAAGTTTTTAAATCCTGCTTGATTGTAATTATAAGATAAAGATACTGTAATTATTATTATTATTTTTTTACCTTTATCCCTCCTTATTTGTTACACGTTGTTAGCATGTTTTTAATTTCTATACAATATTTTATTACTATTTATTAATATGATTATTAATTCAGTAAATGGTGAAATTAGAAAGCCAATATTTTTTGATAGATTTAAAGAATTAACCATCAATTCTTAAAAGTATGAAATTAGTTAACTTTATTTTATAATCAGGATTAAAGAAAATACACACATTCTACTAGTTACTTGGACCTTACCTAATTTGAACTCGTGAATCGTGATCATTTTTTTTTGAAGATGCTTTGATATCACCAAGTTAATAGGCCATTGGTGATTTTATAAGACTACTCATTATAAGGAAGGATATGAAATTATAGAAATAAAATAAAAAGCATGGTTCTTGGATATAATTTAAAATATAATGGAAAGACATAATTGCCCTTCATCAACAAGTTTTTTTTTTTTTTGGAGCAAACATCAACATCTTCTTCTTCTTTTTTTTTTTTTGGGTTAAAAACATCAAGAAGTTGTGAGACAATCATTTGCCGCTAGCCCTCTGGTGGCAAAATAAAATAGGTGGATTTTCAAGTGAGATTAGAATTCTTCAATAGTAAAATTATGTAAATTCAATAGATGCTTTGTGTCTTTTTTAATAATCTTGACTAAATTATTTAGAAAAAACTTAATGGCCAGGAAAAGAAAACCCATCCTTCACATTTACTCCTCTGTACTTTATATTTTTACTCAATTTCTTCTTCTTCTTCACGATGCCCATTCAATATATTTTAAATTACAAATGATGAACATTATCTTTTGTTTGAATTTTCATCATAAGTGATCTTGTAAGACCCCTAACATTATGTTTGATTGGATGGAAGATTTTAATGGAAAAAAGAAAATGTAAAGGAAGGGGAGGGGATGGCTAGGGAAGAATTCCTCAAAATCTCCCAATTCCAAGGGGAGGGTTGAGAAAAAAGGAGATGGTTCCCTCCCATCTCCTCCAACCAAGTAGAATCTTAAATGTGATTTTGTTTGCTTTAAAATTGCTTCTGAGCACAAAAAGACATAAGTAGAGAAATAGGGACCAGACTTATAAGGACTAGAAGGATTAGAGGGATGTACTTTATTAGATATCATATTAAATAAGTATAAATATGAAAAGATTGTGCAATTTTAAAGACAACTAAAATTGAGGGTATTGATTGATTAAAAATGCCTTATACTCTTTCCATTAAAAAATATAAAATATTTTTTTAGGTTTGTGTTTAAAAAATAATAGGCATTCTTAGTTGTTCAATGTGTAGTTAATAAGTTTTTTTTTTCAAAAATAATTTTAAAAAATAAACCATTCAACATTTCACATTTAAGTGAGACACCCTATTAAATAATTAAGAATAAACATGAAAAGAATATAATATACTAGTTTAAAGACAATTAACTAACTTATTTAGGAGATGTAATTTGGTTAATAATGTCTTTTATTTTTTAATGAAAAGTAGTGATACTGAATGGAGGGAGTAACTAATCCTACTGTTATTATTTATTGTGGAATGGTAGTTGATATTTAAACTTGTAGAAAAATTTATATGACCTTCCAATTTTACAAATTAATCAATGATTATAATAAAGTGTTAAATAGAAATTAAAAACTTGCTAACAATTCTTGCTATAATTAAGGAGGCCACGGGTGAGGTTGGGAAAAAAAAATTAACTACCAAATCTTTCCCTTTTATTTAAAATCAAGTAGGGATTTAAACTTTGCTAGAGGAGCATATACGAAGGTCAAATACTTAATAGAGAAGCACATAAAGGCTTTTTTTTAATGAAAAAAAAAACACCGACATTTTGCAACAACCCCACAATATATAATTCACATGAAGCCAATGATCTGCATGAAAAAAATCTTGAACCATGCTAGATGTTTTTGCAGCACAATGTTCACATGATCCCACATAAAATTAAACAAATAAAATAGCATATGATTGGCATGGGACCCATACATCCTATAATTAACCCAAATTTCATTCTAAAATGTTTCATTTTTGTCAAATTTGATATTTTAAAAGCCTAAGCTAGGAAAGATTTAGGAAATATTGAACTAAGAAATTCATAGGAAAGATTGAACATTTAGATATTCTCTGGAAAAAAAAAAAATTAGGGAGGGAGGTATTTGCATTTGCGCCAAGCCTAACAAAGTTATGCCCTTAATTTTAGCCCAACCTCAATTTGGCCTTGATGGACTAGTTTTTATTCTACATATTTTACTATATTGCATTATACTAAAAAGTTGGCGGAATATATGGAAAACAAATTTGAAAAAATCGAGCCAAATTAAATGTATAGTACTAAAATTTGTTTTATCCTTATTAAATTAGAGTGAACTATTAATTATATTTATAATTACAGCAACTCCCGGTGAAGGGTGACATACTGACATTACAGAAGCGGAAGGGTCACACAGCAATTATTGGAATTTCACTAGTGACTCCACCAATGGTGGAGACCCTCCATTCTGAGGAAATCTTGGTCAAAAAAGTCCACCATGAAATTACCTTCTTGCCCCTCATCATCACCTCCTGCACTCTTCAGTAAATTCTCCCACCACTCTTCTTCTGCCTCGCTCTTGCCAGAATCAGCAGCAGGAGGACCTGGCTGTGCTGCAAAACTACTGCTGCTAGCACTTTCACTTGCAGAACCAAGCTCATAACTCTTGTTCCTCAACCATGGCGAATTCTCAGAGAAAGTATGTGGCCGAGGTTTTATGACTTGTACTACTTGCTGTACTTTTACTTTCGCTGTGTCCTCCGTGATGATGCTCACCTCTTCCGCTGCTTTCTTCTTCCTCTGATTTTCTTCTGCTGCTTTGCGCATTTTGGTGTGCCAGAAGTTCTTCACGTCGTTCGCTGTTCTTCCAGGTAGCCTTCCAGCTATCATCGACCATCTATATATTTACAATGTTTGATCAACATAAAGAAAAGAGCTCTTGATGAGTCTAATTAATTAATAAGTTGCATGAGAACGACGAAGATCATCACGCATGCCTGTTGCCCAGAAGTTTATGGAACCTTCGAATCATATCAGCCTCGTCTTCAGTGAAGCTTCCTCGGTTGATGTTGGGTTTCAGATAATTCAACCATCTCATTCTGCAGCTCTTCCTGCATCTCTTCAAACCTGCAATCATATAATAAAATGCACAACATATTTATATCTTAAGCGCTCTCGCTCTGTGTGTGTGTGTGTGTGTTTTAAGGTTGTTCTTGCTCATATTATAGAGAGTGTGTGTGTGTACCAGCTCTTTGAGGAATCAGATTCCAGTTTCCCTCGCCATACTTTCGAACGCATGTTCTGAGAAGATTGTCTTCCTCTTGGGTCCATGCACCTTTCCTCAACTCTGATTTGATCTTCTCCATTAATTTGAAAGCTTATACTAAATGTACTCATAAATCTCTCTCTCACACGCGTATATAAGCTTATCCTATCCTCAGTAATTAATCAACTATTTAGTTGTGACTCGTGAGATGTGTACTCTCTTGACTTTTGATGTTCAAGCTACCGTAGGTGCTGAGTATATGTATAATATACTGGGAGAATGATAGTCACTAGGTCCTCAAAGAGAGAATTATTATTCACAATAATCACTACTATAAAAAAAAAAGCTTTTCACGTCTCTTTTTTAGGACATTTTATATTCCTATCATTGAGGACATAGATTTGGACGACATAAAAAATTAACTTATTCACGTCACTTTTATGAGGGACGTGGTTTTCCACATCCCTTTTTTACAAAAAAGAATGTGGTTTCTTGAGAATAAAAAAAGGTATGTGGTTTCTCCTAAAATAAATATTAAAATACTTTAAATTTAAATCTTTGTCATTACCATTTCATCATTTCAGCTAGCTATAAATTTCACAGACCTAAAAATAAAATAAAAGAAAAATAAAATCATATCAAAATTGATGAAGTAACCAAAGATAATAGAAAATGTTCAAACAGAGGTCAAAAATATCTACAAAGAAAAAGAGCTTGTGGGTGAAAGTGACACTAACCAAATATTGCTCGCCTAAGGAAAAGAGGAGGAGGAGCTGTGGATCTCGGCCGTGCGTCTCAAAACTATCCGTTGAATGGGGGAAAGAGGAGGAGACGAGGAGAAGAGAGAGTTATCTGTCGAATGCTTACCGTTGAATGCTAGCCTTAGATTTCTATTCAGTTTATCGACTATAGATCTCGATGTTGTGGTTCTCGATGTAGTGGGAAGGAGAAGAGAGAGTTGTTATGTGGAGGAGAGGAGAGATCTGCAATGGGGAGGAGAGGAGAGATGTATTGCCATCGAAAGGAAAGAGGGAGAGGAGTTAGGTTTAAAAATACAAAATGATGAAGCGAGGAAAAAGCTCAATTTGATTTAAAAAAGCTGACTGAAATTCACGTCGCTTTTTTTAAAAAAGGAATGTGAAAAATGTTCAAAAATTAATAATTTAAAATATTTTATTTTCTATAATCCACTTCCCTTTTTTAAAAAGTAGCATCCCTTTTTTTAAAAAAAGAAACGTAAAAAATATTCAAAAATTAATAATTTAAAATATATTATTTTCTACAATTTACGCTCCTTTTTAAAAAAAGCGATGTGGTAAATCACCACGTCGCTTTTAAAAAAAAAAGGAACGTGAAAAATGTTAAAAGTTTAATAATTTAAAATATTTTATTTTCTACAATTTATGTTCCTTTTTTAAAAAAGTGATGTGATAATTACCACGTCGCTTTAAAAAAATGTGAAAAATGTTAAAAAATTAATTATTTAAAATATTTTATTTTCTATAATTTATGTCCCCTTTTTAAAAAAAGCAATGTGAAGGGACGTGGATAGTTTTATATATTTAACACTTATTTATAAAATTACCATCGTCTGTATTTTTATGTCACTTTTATAAAAAGTGATGTAAATTGAGGGATATAAAATGTATATTTTGTAGTAGTGAATTCATCTTGAAAATTTTTGTTCAATGACTAATAAATATTAATTCAAATAGTTATAAATTTAAAAGTTTTAATGATAAATAAATTATTTAAATTCTAAATATAACTCTCAATTTACACTTGGATTCCCATTTGCAATTGTCTAAATTAATATTTATAATTTATTTTGTGTGTGTTATTTATATGTTCAATTCATGAAAGTTTTAATGTTGGTTTGAGGGAGGAATGGGATCTAACGATTGTTTATGATCACTCGAATTATGTCCAACGCCAATCTTTATGGCAACCTTACGTGATATAGAAGCTCATGGGTACGGAAATGGTGTATTGGTGGAGACTTCAATGCCACGTTGAATGAGAAGGATCATATGTCCTTGCCAACTACTCAATCTAGAGTTGATTGTTATTTCAAGCAATGGGTGGATGAATTTGGGGTGATTGATTTGGGATTTTAAGGTCCTGAGTATATGTGGAGTAACGGTAGGTCACGTAGTAGAATTGATTGAGTACTTGTTAACGCGAGGTGGTTTGAATACTTCCCTATAGCTTTTGTTATACATTTACCAAGGCTCAAATCAGACCACTACTCCATTTTTCTAAAGTTATGTAAGGAAGCTTAGTGGATTAAGAAGGAGAAGGGATTCCAATTTTTCACACCATGGGTTACACATGAGGGGTTCAGATTGGTGGTAGAAAGCTCTTCGAGCTCATCGTATGGCTGGGAAGAAAATGTGAAAAGATTCGCTACTATTGTTTCAAATTGGAATAAATATGAGTTTAGGGACATTAATAGGCAAAAAGCACCATTATTGAGGAAATTGGAAGGCATTAATCGACAATTAAGTGTGAGTACGAACACTAAGATGTTAGAAAAAGAATGTGCTAATCTCTAGATCAAGTTGGAGACAATTTTAGTGCAAGAAGAGATTATGTGGTTGCAATAGTCAAGATGTAATTAGTATGCTCACGGGGATAAGAATATGAGATATTTTCACACAGTGACATAATGTCATAAGAAGTGGAAACATATAGAAGCTCTAAAGGGTAGGGATGGAGAATGGATTTATGACAGTAAGCTCTTAAAGAAAATGAGGATCGAGTTCTACAAACAACTATATGCTACAGAACTAGCCCCCTCTAATGATATTGTGTTTGGTGGTTGCTTCCTAACAGTTGAGGAGGACATCATTGAGTCGATAGGATAAGAAATAACTAGCTCCTAAGTCAAAGGTGCAACGTTTGTGATAGAGCCCTTTAAAGCCTCAGGCCTAGACAGGCTAAACCCCTTGTGCTTTCAAAGTCAGTGGGAGGTTGTGGGGGATTCTATTGTTCAATTAGTCCAACAAATCTTCCACAATCCTAAGCTAGTGAGGCATATCAATGAGACAAACATCATTTTAATACCAAAGGTAGATGTTCCAAAAACTATGAAGCACTTTCGACCTATTAGTCTTTGCAATGTGGTATACAAGATAACCATGAATGTACTAGCAATTAGACTTAAACGTCTCATGCTTAAAGTTGTTGTGCCTAATCAGTGCAATTTTGTTCCTGGTAGACAAAACATTGATAATATAATTGTTGCATATGAAATTATCCATTCCTTTTGCAAGCAAAAAGGAGAAGGGGTTTATGGCTTTGAAGATAGATATTGAGAAAGCTTATGATATAGTCAGGTGGGATTTTGTGACTAAGTGCTTGGAAGAGCTCAACATTCCTTTGATCTTTATCGATTTGGTGTACAAGTGTTTATCGACGGCTACTATTTAGGTGATGTGGAATGCGAACAAGGTGATAAATTCACTCCGTCAAAAGGGGTGAGAAAAGGTGACCCTCTCTCATCATATCTTTTTGATTTAGTTATGGAGAAATTAGGGCACATGATATAAAATGAAGTTGATTTAGGGAATTGGTTTCCGTTTAAATAAAAAAGAAATGGGTTAGCAATATCCTATCTCTTCTTTGCAGATGATTTATTGCTTTTTGCTAAGGCTAGTATGGAGCAAGTAAGCTTATTAAAGGCTTTTCTGGATATTTTTGTTGTAGTTCAAGAGAGAAATTTAATAGTGCTAAGTCTAGAATTTTTTTCTCTCAAAATGTCTGAAGAGCATACGCAACTGCAGTTAGTAGCTTCTTAAAGTTTACAACTACAAATGACATTGGGAAGTATTTAGGGGTACCTTTACATTATAAGAGTGTCAAATCATATGTATCAACACATCTTGAATAAGATGGATAGCTGATTTACTTTATGGAATGTGAATACTTTATCTACGGCAGCTAAACACAAGGTAGCTTCTTCTGTGGTGGTAGCATTTCTAGTGTATACAATGCAATCTACTCCATTACTAAAACACACTATGAAGAGATTGATAAGAAGTGTAGGAAGTTTTTATGGGGAAGTATGGATTCACACCAGAAGATGCATTTAGTGTCTTAGGGTGATGTGTGTCAAAGGAAGGAGAATGGAGGGTTTGGACTGCAAATAGCTAGTCGTCAAAATAAGGCATTTGTAATGAAATTTGGCTAGGGACTAATTCACTGTTGAGATGCATTATGGGTGAAGCTTATGTGTGAAAAGTACAAATGTGAAAATGACATTATTCCCAAAGTGGAGATTCGTAAATGCGGATCTAGTGTTTGGAGGGGTATTAATGAAACATGGAATGAGGTTATATCCAGTGTATCTTGGTAGGTGGGTAATGGTTTTATGGTGAGGTTTTGGTGTGATTGTTGGCTCCCTCATCATGAGCTATTGTTACAATATGTGGTGAGTGAATGTTCTGGAGAAAATTAGTAACGACACGATGGACAAGTATTTGACATCGTTAGGTGGGTGGATAATAGCTAAGTTCATCGAGTATTTGCCCAGAAACATAATTGATGTAAATAGGATCTCAAGCACTAGGGATGAGGATATACCCAAATGGAGGTGGTCGAATAATAGAGAGTTTACAACAAAGTTGCCTTACAATAGGCTTTGTAATAGCACTAATGAGTTACAAAAACATTTATAGAGGAAGGTGTGGAAGGCTCTTATAACCCCAATGTAATAAGACTTTTCTTTGGCTTTATGCTAGAGGAAGGCTTATGACTAATTCTTTTTAAGCATCTAGAGGTATTTAGTGTAGTGCATCTTGTTCCCTCTGTCCTCATTACCATGAGAACATACTACATGTTTTATGAGATTGCCCAATAGCAATGGCATGTTAGGAACAATTGGTGCATCCTGAGAAAGAGGCAACATTTTGTAAATTCAATGACCATGCTGATTGGTTAGATTGGAATCTTTCTTAACGACATATAGTCAAGGGAGTTAGGTGAGATGTTTGGTTCGCCATGTTATGTAGACAGTTATGGATTAACAGAAATGTTAAAGTCTTTAAAAAAAATAGCTATTAGAGTGCATGCGACTCGTGCTTAAGTACAAGTGATGGT